AATGACAGCATGGAGAATGAAGCAACTGAGCCCCTTCATTTTTAAATAATATGTTGTATTATTTTCTCTTACTCCACATAGCAACTCATATACTTGGTGATGGAAAGGACTGGGGTATGTGAAAAGTCTGATAAAGTGGTGCAGTAATATTTGGGGAGTTGTGGAAACCCTAATGGGAGATGGGAGGTAAAGTCTGACTTTTTAAGGGGAGAAAGGCCAGGCCTTAAAGAAAATAAATCAGACCTAAACACGGATAAACTTCTGCATTCTAGATCAAAGTTTTATCAACAGCTGAACAAGCTGCACACTGCAATGAATTGAGATACTGTAAAGTCACTTTCTTAAGGTCTTTATTTTCTATACATCTTTAACAAAACCTTTTGTTTCAACAACTAACTTAATCTATAAAAGAGTCTTCTTTGTGTCAACTGAAGTATGACCTTTTCTAAATAAACCTTTTAAAACCTCAAGAGGTCAGCTAACCAAAACAGACAGGATTAAGTTAATAAAATATTACCTCAAATGCAAACTCCACACTCTTCCAAGCAGCTGAATCATTAGTAGATATGAAGAGCTGCTATGATTGTAGGATTCCCTTTCCCAGGAATCATGTATGGTTATACCAGTATGTATTTCGTTTTTATGTTAAAGTGGAAGAAGAAAGTAATAGGAAAATTCATTTTTTAGAGGCTCAATAAGAAAAAAATGTATGTAAATGACACACACAAAAAAAATTCCCAAACTTCACAACTGTAATTGTGTTTTGGGAAAAAACAGCTCTATAAATCATTTTAAACCAAAGTCATAGGAATGTAATGGAGATTACTAAAGTTTTGGAGATTATTAAAGCATTTGATGATGATAAAAAATTAAGCATCTTGCATTCCTAAATCCAAGCAGAAGTTTCATTTTCCAAAATATTTGGGATTAGGCTGAATGCCCATTCAGAATATGGTAATGTCTAATGCCACCAGTTAGCACTCACTTACTCTACATTTAAAAACAACCAAGTCAACTAGGACAGCTAGAAAAAAGTTTTCTAAACTTAAAAGATACTCTCTTTCATATAAAAAAATCCTTTTCCCCTGCAAAATGTGCCAAGTTATTTATAAAGAATAGTAGTTCCCTCTCCTTCTCTCCTCCCCATATAATTCAAAATATGAAACTGAGAAAACATTAATTCTTCCAAAAACTTCACCCAAAGTTACTTGGCAGTAGAAATTTAGAGTTCTTGAAATTGACATAAAAATGTAGTTTTTAAAACAAACCAAAACAGCAGTAGACTCATAGACACTGAGAAGTGACTGGTGGTTACCACGGGGCAGGGGCTGAGGTGAGTAGGTGGCGAGGGTGAGGGGGATAAAGGAGCACAAAAACCTCAATCATAATATAAGTTGGTCATGGGGATGGTAGGACTGCATGGAGAATATAGTCAATGATTCTGTAACATCTTTCTATGCTGACAGATAGTAACTGTACTAATTGGGGTGAAGATTTAATAATGTGTGTATCTGTTGAGTTACACTGTGTTGTTTACTTGAAACCAATATAATATTGTGTATCAACCATACTTAAATAAAAAAAAGAAATGCAGTTTTATATGTTAAACCAAGTGATAAAATGAACATACACATTTTGTTATGATCTAGTTATATTTTTGGATCCAAAACACTACAATTTTTTTTAAGTAATGTCAACCTCATAAAGATGAAACACATAAACATAATTATAAAATCTAGGCAGATTACAATTTCCTGTCCTCAACTCTCCCCTTCCCTCTCCTCTGCTTCTAAACCACGCAGTGCAGCATCTACTTCATAGACACAGAAACATACTTTAACCACTTCCCCTGTCAGTTTGAGTATTAGCTTTCAAGTTGAAACTGCACACACTTAGAGTCTGCCTTAGAGTTGTATTATATGACCTGTTTAACTTGGTGAGATGCCAGTTTAAGCATACAGACATTTAAGAATGTTTTTTGATTAATTATTAATAATCCTTTTACTTTTAGATTTGTCATATGATTCTCCAATTAGTTTTTCACTCCAGATCAAATTTTGTAATCTGTATATACTGAAAGGCTTTTGTGATCTTGAGAGTAACTTGATCAATCTAGATGTAAGTTCACTAAAGTACAAGATGTGACTAGACAGTACTGACCTAAAAATATCTTGAGATACTTTTGTCTACAAGGAGTACTGACTCTGGTTCTCTAGTGTTTAGGTAAGGAAAACATTAACAAAGGCGCTCAACTTAATCCTATACAGACATGAAAGATGAGAAAGACAGAGACAATTTCTAAACCAATAGCAAATAAGTTAATAAATTCACTCTTCCACCCAAGAAGAAAGTGCACAGACAGTATAGAAATCAACAATATCCCCACCCCTTTTACAACATTTGCAAAATAAGGTATTCTGCTCCAAATTGTGTGCTCTATAGCCAACTGCACCACCAGTATTTTCAATCCTAATAGACCACAATCATGTTTAGAGCCTTATTAAAATTGAAATACATACTTTCTAACTTTTCAAATTTAACGTAACAGTTTTAAGGAAAAAACAAAGACTAACACCCGTAAATGTGTTACATTTTCAAAAGTATTTTCAAACACATCATCTCATTATCTCTTTTATTCTGCTGGAGAGGGCATCCAGGTTCCCATTTAATAAGGAAGAGAAACTGTGGCTTTTAGAAGGTAGATAACATGCTTGAAGTCATGAAGACAAAGGGATAAATCTGAAACCAGAAGCTCAAGCTCTTAGATCAACAAATATATTTTCATTCACTTCTTTAACTGAAGGACCTTCAGTTACAAACAGGTCACCTTCTTACTGATTCCCAGTGTAATGCTATACATAGACCTGCTATGATAAAAAGAAAAAGAGTTGATATTTATTCACTGGGCATGTGTCTCAAAACCAAATGAAGCTATTCCATTTTAACAAGCATCGAGAAATGCTAGTGAATTTGCAGTCACTATAAAGTTGAGTGTATTTTTCAATGTTTAAAAATTTTTAAGTCCACTCACAGTTAACCTATCCAGATTTTTAACTTCATTTATTTTAACATCATTTTTAAGAAAATATAAGAAAATGTATATTTGAAAAAATTATGTAACTATTAGTTTCTGTTATATTTTGATTTAAATACCTACTGTATGAAGGGTAAAAGTAAAGAAAAAAACCTTGCAATTTTAGTAGTTTCCTGTTGGTTAATGAATGCTGAAATGAGGAAACTTTTTATTCATAATGCCCTCTACTGGCAGCTCAAGAAGTTCTAATATATTTTTCACAGGAGAATGAGTTAAGTATGGTGTCCGCCACCACCTGCACATAAATCCCCTGGAAAGCTTGTATAGTCAGAGACTGCATCTTATTTATCTTTGATTCCCCAGAGCCTGGCATGATGCCAAGCATAGCTGGTGTTCAGTAAACATTTGTTGAGCAATTGAATCCACACTGATATCCCTTTCTGTATGCAACCTACACTGTGCAACAGTTTTTACAAACCTAAAATCAGAACTATTTCTCCTTCATAGAGCTACTCTTATTCAATACTGCTTAAATAAAAAAGGGACTATTTGCATGTAGAGATGCTATTTAACTTGCCTTGGAATCTGCCACATCTTCAATTGATTAGTAACTTAAGAGTGGCAAAAAGCTTTGGTTAACTTTTTATTCTAAGAATTATTTAGCCAACTGTGAAGCAAAAAGTAGTACAAATCCTTTGTGCACTAACAAAGAAATGAAGTTTCCAAAAACCTCTAGGAAGAAAAAAACAAAACTACTGTTGTTTTGAACCAAGGTTTTCGAACTTAGATTGAACTAAAATCAAATCAGTTTGGATTTTGTTTTTTTAACTTATAAAGAACAATATTCTGTTAGCAAGCTGCATACCTAATTCAGGTCAAACAGTTTTGGTATATATCAAAATAATTGCAAGATTAAGTTTAGTACTCTCCTCTAATTGCCACAAAAGAAAACATTTGACTTTATGCTACAAAGGTGGTATGGTCCATTCTATAGCTTTCTGGCCCTATATTTTCTACATGCTTAACAAATATTTAAAATATTCACATATGTATAATTCTCAAAGTATCATAAGACTATTTTGCTTCTCCAGCTATAACAAAGAAACAAATCCTACCATTTGCAACAACATGGATGGAGCTAGAGGGTATTATGCTCAGTGAAATAAGTCAGGCAAAGAAAGACAAATAACAAATGATTTCCCTCATTTGTGGAGTATAACAACAAAGCAAAACTGAAGGAACAAAATAGCAGCAGACTCACAGACTCCAAGAAGGGACTAGTGGTTACCAAAGGGGAGAGGTAGGGGAGGGAGAAGGGGACTGTGGGGTATCATGATTGGTGCACATGGTGTGTGTGGGGTCATGGGGAAGACAGTGTAGCACAGAGAAGGCAAATAGTGACTCTGTGGCATCTTACTACACTGATGGACAGTGAATGCAATGGGGAATGGAGGGGGACTCGATAATAAGGGTGAATGTAGTAACCACATTGTTTTTCTTGTGAAACCTTCATAACAGTGTGTATCAATGTTACCTTAATTTAAAAAAAAGACTTCTTCAGTTTGTGGTACTATGAGACTGTACTGGAAGAAATCAAACATTTATATCATAATATTAACCTATGTTTTAAAGTGGTAATTACCTTACCATATATTTATTCAATAAGGAATTGTTGAGTTGGCCCATTATGTGCCTGGCACTGTTCTGGGAACTACAGTTACACAATAAAGAAAATAAAGTTCCTTCTGAAACTTACTATCTTATATTCTTTTTTCTAGAAAGGAAAAAAGCAGAACCATTCCTGTGCTCCAAACGAGAAATAGGGGTTCTTTGCAAAGGGGAAGAGTTAAATCTAAAAGCTCTCAGTTCACAAAACTTACTGGAAGACTCACAGAAACTCCAAAAGAGCTGTTAAGCCTAGAAGAAAGAGGAAAGTAATAAATGAAACTTTAAAATTAGTGTTTACCTCTGAATTGCTTCAAGAATACCCTTCACGTCTGCCATTAACTTTTGAAGATATACAAATGCTTCTTCAAATGACGCTATTTTTGAAAAAGTCAGAGATGAATTTGAGCCCAGTCTTTGAAACACATCCATGCTAAAATAGAGAAAAAGAAAAAATACTCATAGGTATACATGCATATTTATTATAATCCAAGTATTTCCATTTCTAATGTATAAAATAAGGTAATATTTATAACTTATCTTTGGTAAGGCTGATCTATTATGCAAGAAATTAGAGACATGACTTGTAAATGCCTGGCTAACATTCATTTAAAGGATCTAGGTTGACCACCATACAGGTCTAACCTAAAGTAATACTATAAAAGCTGTGTGAAGAATGTTTCATTCTAAGAGACCATAAGGGATGGAAGGAAAATAACACTATCAATCTACATTTAAGTCAGCACATAAGTATTGACAGTATTCCAGTACATAAAGATGAAGAAAAACATTAGACATCAGATTGACTGTTGAAGCTGGAAGCTACAAATGTTCATACACTTCACTCTGGCAATTCCAATTTTAGCAATCTATCACATATTAGTATTCACAACTGGGCAACACTTAGTAATCACCCAAATGTTCAACAATATAAAAAGTGTTAATAGTGAGTTAACCACCTAATGAAATACCAAACAACTATTAAAATAGTGCCTATGCCAGCTATAAAACAAACAGAAGATACAATATTTACTTACATAACCTAAGAAAAATATTAAAAAATCAAAAAACATGCTGTACCAGGTTGAAGAGTGTTTCCCAATCCCCAAATTCATGTTCACCCAAACCTCAGATACTTAAAATACGATCTTTGGAGATGTAATTAGTTAAGATAAAATGAGGTCGCACTGGATTATGTGGCCACTACCCTACACAAAGACAAGGCAGAAACTGGAGTGATATATCTACAAAGATTGCTGGCAACTACAGAAGCTAGGAAGATTCTCCCTCAGAACTTCCAAAGAACCAACACTGCAGACACCTGGATTTCAGACATTCTAGCCTCTGGAACTGTGAGCAAATAAATTTCTGTTATTTTAAACCACCTAATTTGTGGCTATTTGCGGTGAAAGCCCTAGGAAACTAACACATATGCCTATTACATGTACATAATATTACCCACATTAACTGGTTACCTTTAGGGAATCTTCTCCTACAGTACTTTCCAAAACATTTTTTTTATAAATGTGGTAAAACACACATATTATTCACCATTTTAACCATCTTAAAGTATACATTTCCATGGCATTTAGTACATTCACAGTGTTGTGCAACTATCACCACTATCTAGTTATAGAACATTTTCTTCACTCCAATTGTATATCCACTCACTCCCTCCCACCCAATTCCTGGCAACCCCTCACCTGTTTCTGTCTCTATGGACTTGCCTATTATGGATACTTCATATAAATGGAAACATGAATTATGTGACCTTTTATGTCTGGCTTCTTTTATTTAACATTCATTCATGTTACAGCTAATGTCACTACTTCATTCCTTTTTATGGCTGAATAATACTCCATTTTATAGATATACCACTTTCATTTATGTATTCATCTGTTGGTGGATATTGGATTATTTGAACTATGATTACTATAAACATTGTTGCTATAATTTATGTACAAGTTTTTGTTTGAACACTTGTGTTCAATTTTGGGAGGTATATACTGAAAAGTGAAATTGCTGGGTCTTATGTTGATTGGATGTTTAACTTACTGAGGAACCACAAAACTGTTTTCAAAAATGGCTACACAATTTTGCATTCCTACAAGCAATGTATGAAAATTCTAATTTATCCACATTCTCACTATCATTTATTTTCCTTTTTTTTTTCAATGCCCATCCTAGTGAATATGGCATTTTCATTTGCCTAAGGACTAATGATGTTGAGCACCATTTCATGTACTTGTTGACCATTCATACATCTTCTGTGGAAAATTTTCTTTTCATTCTTTGCCCATTTTTAATCAGATTGTCTTGTTATTATTGAGTTCTAGAAGTTCATTGTAGATTCTGGACACCAGACCCTTATCAGATTTATATAACTTGCAAATATTTTCTTCCATTCTATAGGCTGTCATTTTCCTTAACGCTGTCCTTTGATGCAGAAAAGAATTTAATTTTGAAGAACTCCAATTTATCTTTTATATCTTTTGGTGGTCTGTGCAGTCCAGTCTGTGGTACCAGATGGGGTTGCCCTGATTTATCTTTTGTTGTTTGTATTTTTGGAGTCATTGTCTATGAAATCATTCCCTAACCCAAGATGACAAACATTTATTCTGTTTACTTCTAAGAGTCTTGTAGTTTTAGTTCTTATATTTTGGTCATTTATCTATTTTGAGTTAATTTTTGTATGTAGCGTAAGGTCAGTATCCAACTTCATCCTTTTGAGTGTAGCTAATGGGTCATCCTGCACCATTTCTTAAAGAGACATTCTTTCTCTACTGAATGGTCTTGGCATCCTTGTCAAAATCAGCATAGATGTATGTGTTTATTTCTGAACTTCTGATTCTATTCCATTGATATGTGTGTCTACATTTATGCCATAGCATTGTTTTGAATACTATATTTTTGTATTAAGTTTGTAATACTATAGTTTTGTATTAAGTTTTGAAATCAGGACGCATGAGTCTTCTAACTTAAGTCTTCCAATCCATGAACATTGGATTTTTCCATTTAATTCAGGTCTTGTTTAATTTCCTTAGAGAATGTTTTGTAGTTTTCAGTGTATAACTCTTGCACCACCTTGGTTAAATTTATTCCTAAGTATTTTATTCCTTCTGATGATAATGTCAGAATTGTTTTCATTTGTTTTTCAGATTATTCACTGATAGTGTATAGAAAAATAACTCATTTTGTGCATTTATTTTAAAGATAAACACCATAAACTATTTAAAAAATACCTACTTTTTAAAAATGTTCACACATTTAAACTCTAGTCACCATATTAAATTTGGAAAAACAAACCCAGGAATGTAGAAAGGAGAAAATACCTAACACCCATAGTCCACCAACAAGAGAGAAGTATTAGTGATGTCCACAGGGGCTTCCTTCATCTTTTTCTGGATGTATATGCATTTGTGTGTGTGTGTGTGTGTGTGTGTGTGTGACAGAGACAAAGGGAAAGAGAGAGAGAGAATGAATATAGCCAACAAACTCTTTCAGGAAAGCCATAATAAATAAAAATTCTACATACTAGACATTATTATTCCCCTGAATTCCATTATAGTTGTTATACAGATGTATGAACTTGCTGTAAAATAAGGGCATTAAAAATTCCTCCTCCAAGACCTATCCTAACTGACAGAATGCAGGAGAAATGAGGAAGATGAGGGCGAGAACAGCCATACCAGTCATAGGACGGGCAAAAATAATCATCTGCGGTGGCTACTGTTCCTCTTGCTCCTGTCTCAGCAAAATCACGGTGTATCAGCAAATCCTGCTGGCTCTACCTTTAAAATATATCCAGCATCTGACCAATTCTTACCATTTCTATCACATCTCTCCTGATCCAATTCATTTTCCACCTGTATTATCATATTAGACACCTACCTGGGCTTCCTTCATCCTCATCATTCAGTTTATTCTCAACATGGCAGAGCAACCTTTTTTAAAACACCAGCTTTATCATGTGATTTCTTTGCTAAAACTGGTGCAGTGGCTTTTACCAACAGTCAGAGCCTTAAGTCCTTAACAATAGCTTAATAGTTCATAAGGCCCTACACAAAAAGCGTACTGTCTCTCACCCCTTCAGTTCCTCTAACTCTGCCCCCTTCCTCCAGCCACATTGGCCTCCTTGCACACCAGACATGTTCCTTCAAGGTCTGTGCTATTTCGGTTCCTTTATCTGTAATTCTCTTCCTACAAAAAACTACATGCTCCATTTTCGCATCCTCAGGACACAGGACAAATACCGTTTTTTAAATGAGTTTCCTAGAGCACCCCCTAAGACTGTAACTCCTGTTCCTCCCTAAATAATGCTTATTCCTCCTTTCTTCTTTACTCTTCAAACTTATGACCACATAATGTAATCCCGAGTGCCTGAAAGTATGGAAAATAATAAATACACCATTTTTCTTTTGAGTCTAGACTTTTCAGACACTCTGCAACATATTAATAACTGGATCTGTGTCTTAAATTTGAAAATATCTCACTTGAAAACATATCTTACAGTCAAAGAAGAGTATACTGAGCATATTATTTTAAATATGTAACTAACATACTATTTAAAGATGTTCTATGTTTCCAGACATTTTGGATACCTTTTTATATTTTATTTATTCAGCACCCACCACTAGAATGTAAATATTTTTGTCCGTTTTGCTCACTGATATATATATGTTCTTAATACACAGACTATACCTAGTGCATAATAAAAGATCAATATATGTTTGCTGAATGAATGGATATTTGATTCAGATATACCTCTGGGGCTGCTCTTACCTTTGAGAATTTGCTGTAGGATTTCTTAAACATTATTTAAATTATTTTCATTTTTGGTCTAGGGCAATAAGTTTGAAACACACGTCTCTCTCTCTCTCTCAACTTACTATCTATATGTCTCTACTTAAATATATATTGTCCAAAATTATTTAGGCTAAATCAAAAAATATAATGGACGGTCTACATGCTAATTCACTTCAGAGCTGACTGAGAACACCCCTTATGAACTGGTAAGCTGGCTTTCGCCGGATTCCATAACTTAGAGGCACATAAACTATGCCTGCAAGATAATCACAATGGGAATTAAAAGCACATACAAAGATTCTGTGGACACCATGGCTGTTAAGTTAACTGAGTCTGTGAAGCTCTAAGAGAGAATTTATTGGGCTACTTACAGTATGCTTCAACCCTCCTTCTAATGATGTACAAAGTACATTTATTTTTTAGAATGTTGAGCACAACTTTGATGCAAACATAAAGACTTCAACTTTTTCTGCAGTAATTTAATACAAATGTATACATTTTTAAAAAGCATCAAAGGAGCCATATAATATGGAATATTTATAAAGTTATTACCCACAAAAACTTAACTCTTTTTAAAATAAGATAGGATATTCAATATGTTTTATTTTCAGTTTTTGCTCCCAAATG